CTGCCTGCCTGCCTGCCTGCCTGCCTGCCTGCCTCCCTCCCTCCCTCCCTCCCTACCTACCTACCTACCTACCTACCTACCTACCTACCTACCTACCTACCTACCTCCCTGTAGGGAGACAGACAAACAGACAGAGATAAAGAAACATACACACACACACACACACACACATATATACACACATACGTACAAGATCTACTAGACCGAAGTGCTTACATGTAACTGCTCACAAAAAGCAAATAGTCAGTTCCAATCCTGTCTGTGCCTTTCTCCTTGATTGTCTTGTGCCATTTGCTCCCAATCGCTGCTTAAGTCTTGCATGAACGCATGCTCAGGAGAAGAAGGGGAAGACTTGTAGCAGCCACATTGCCTCTGTCTATTTCATGATACTGGGCTTCACCTCTGGATGAGATCTTGCAACCTTTAGTACCACTATCTTGCTTTCTGTGGAATTCTTGAGACTGGCAACATAACAAGTTTGGAAAAGCTTTGTGGCGGAGGGGTGCCTGACACCTCACAGGTGGCCATTGCTGCCTGTGGATTGTGTAAGTTGTAGTACAGAACAGAAACTAGAAAGAACTGAGTTGCAGTTTCTGAAAAACCCTCATATGGCTGAAGTTTTAGCAGTCATTACCCAAGAATGGTCCAGGTCAGAGTTGCACTCAGAGTGAGCCTTGCAATTGAGTTACCAAGTAAAAGCGCTTGGATCTTTCCTCCTGCCTTTATTAGATCCATCAGAACGGTTGCGAGGAGAGAAAGATGGAAACACAAAACAGTAGGAATAAGAAAGGCATGTATTTCGAGTTTCCTGTCAATTAGCTGTTGAATCTTCCTTTTAAACCACTCTCTAATCATTTTTCTTTTCTGCCTCTCCCTCCACACCATCTGCCTTTTGGTCTCTTGCTCCTGACAAAGATACCTTTGGAACTTAAGAGCCAGGTCTGCATGCAACCAAAGAAGCTGATCAAACTGAGGTTCATCCCCAGAAAGGCTGCTGGATCTGAGGAACAAAGAGATAAGAAACTATAAAGAAACCAAGATGACTGCTCTCCTTCTTCCCCACAACCCATGGAATGAGTAACTTGTGAACAGCAGAACTGGAGACTGCCAATGGGACACCATGCTGATGAATGCTCTCCTTCATATCACACAGGACTAGCGACTTGAAGCATCAGAGTAGAAGACAGTGCATTATAATTTTTAATCTCAAGAATAACACTGAAATGTTACCCTCCAAGTTTAAGCGTATAACTCTCTGCTGAGATTTAAACCTATTAAATTAAACAGCACTTACAATGTATAGGATTACAACCTTTATGAACTTAGTTTATATGTATATGGTAAAGAAAATGTAAAGGTGCAGGAATAAGACTTAGAATGAGTGTTTGCATTTTAAATTAAACTTTATCCTAAAAAGAGGACAGTCTGTTTTTAATTCTGCTTTTTAATTTATTATTTTATCTACTTGAAATGTTTCCTATCCTGCCTTCCTCCTAAAAAAGAGCTCAAGGTGGCTTACATAATCAAAAAAACACAATATTAAATGCTAAAAATATAAAGAAGAAATTAGTAACATATATTAAAATGTTAAGCAAAAGCATTACTTAAAAAAAAGATTTAGGAGCAACAAAATATAAACCATCCTCAAAGGCTTTCATGGCGGGATCTGATAGTTGTTGTGGGTTTTTCACGTTCTTTGGCCTTGTTCCGAAGGTTGAAGAACAACCTTCAGAACACAGCCAAAGAACCCGAAAAACCCACAACAACCATAAACCATCCTGTTTATTGTCTTCTAGCCAGTCAGTCACTAAGGAAAAGCCTGCCTAGAAAGAAAGATAGATGTGGCCTTTAAGATAGCTTGGACTCATAGTTGGCCTGGAAGATTGACTATAAGCTAGTCTTGGTCTACCACCAAGGGCTTGGGAGAATGAAGTATTCTTGTCAAGGATGGGTTGTATATCACTTATGAGTGGTCTCAGTTGTGAAATGAAAGTGACAACTAGCTGTGTTCTGTCATTTTGTCTTCTGAGCCTGTCTCGCAGTAAGTTACTTCTACGTATGTATCTTGCTCCGTTAATTTGTTCCTTAATCATACTGGGTGAGTATTGTAGTCTGAGAATCTTGTACAGTAGATCCTTGAATCTGGAGTCTGCATCTTGTGGGTCTGAGCAGATGCGATTGTTTCTGTGGTTTCAACTGTAAATAATGAATTTTCTTGTGTGTTCAGGATGGAAGCTGAAAGTAGGTGTATCGATTGGTGGATTTTTGATACAGTGTGGTAATGAAATGTCCATGTTGTATTTTTACAGTGGTGTCTATAAAATATAGGGTGAGGCTGTTGTGTAGGGTGAGGCTGATATTGGGTGGAAGCTACTGAAATCTTGGTGGGATTTATCTAGAGATTCCTTTTCATGGGTCCATATTAGACCGTATCCCTCAAGCTATATGAGCCTTATACACCTATCTGGAACCTATATAAGGATCTACCCTCATTGTGCCTATGTCCAGCTTTGATCCATCAAATATTGCTTGATGACTCCAGTTCCTTTGGGGGTTGCCACCCATTGATCCCCATAGTATTTTTGCAAACCCTATCGTTTCATTTAACACCATATCAAGATGAGTACTGACACACAGTGGACAACACAACACGGACACAGAGATGGGAACAAGCCCTGTTACAAACCCACATACCAGCTCTACTCCTACATCTATCTGGCCAACATAGTTACTGGACCTAACAACGTCTCACACACAATAGCAAAGGTACTTTACTTGTTCTTCTACCAGTGTTATTTATGCCATCTTTTGCCAACAATGCCCATACACCAAAACATGGTGGAGAAATAAATTTGATATTAAATGTTCTGCTTGTCGTTTCCTGCAACCAGGTTCATAACAGCATTTGTTTCTCTGATGTATGTGACCTTGGCATCTGTCCTTAGATTTGTCATTCTGCCAACATTAATTCTACAGATAATAATTTTCAGATAACCAGTTGGGTCACCTGTTGCCTCGAGCAGTGAAGGATCAAAAGTGTACATTGCTTCCTTGTTCTCTAGATTTGCTTTTCCACTTCTAGTTTTATCTCTCTGGATTTGCACACAGGTTCAGTAAAAAGAACAAGAAAACCGTAGATCTATACATCTTCATGCCCTTCAGAGCTGGTCCCAGAAGCCGAAACTTTGCTCTCCTGGTTTTGAACGTGGCCGTGGTGGTCCACCTGCAGCAAGTCTCCTTCCAGACCTGCAAAGAAACTCCAGTAAACTGAGAAGGATTCTGTTTTTGTTTTATCCATATATATATATATATACTTTGGCATCATATATATAGAGTTGATCTGTACAACTGCATGTAAGGAGTTCAGTCCAAGAGTTGATCTGTATATATAGACATCTCACTGTCCTAAACTCTTACTTCATTCTTCTGTGTGATTATTTCCGGTCATTATGGGGCAAGAGTAAAATCCTGTTGGTCACAGAAAGCAGAAAAACATGTTCAGGGAGAGAAAGTGAGGATTCATAATATTATAGGTTGTCAAAGAAGAACACGTAATTCTTGTGACCTTAGGCCTGGATTTGAGGGTAAAAAAAAAAAACAGGTTTTCTCAAATTTCTCTTTCCTGTAAAACTCACTGAGGGACCTTGGGGCCAGGCTCATGCTTTCAGCCTTACTTGCATCACAAGAGTGTTGCAAGGAAGTCGGCCATGTGTGTAGCCTAGACCTCACTGGGGGAAATGTTGCATAGAAACGTAGTATACTAATGACAACTAAAACTCTGGGGACCAGAAAGGTAGGTTGAATGACAACTAAAGAGGCCCATATTGAGATTCTCATTCAGAGGTAGCTAGGTAGCTCACTGGATTGGAGTACCTGGTTATGGAGCCAAAAGTCAAGAGTTGAGTTCTTCCATGTGCCTTGTAAGACAGTGGTCCCCAAGCTTGGGCCTCCAGATTTTCTTGAACTACAACTCTCAGAAGCCTATACCACCACCTCTTTTGGCCAGGATTTCTGGGAGCTGAAGTCCAAGAACATCTGGAGGCCGAAGGTTGAAGACCACTGTTGTAAGAGATGACCCATCATGTGTGGCCTTGGGCAAACACAACAGTCCCAGCATTCCCCTAGAAGAAGAGGAATGGGAAACCTCTGCTGACTGTTAAGTGGCTGAAATCCTGTTGCTTAGTTAGCCACACTAGAGTAGGGCTAATTGAATCAACGCAACCTACAGAAGAGGTTCTGAGCGACCGGATTCCAGCTTGTCCTTAGATGTCTTTGACAAAGGTTACTATAGATTGGAATCAACCCAATGGCATGCAGTGATGATGATGGTGATGGTACTGATGCAGATCATGTCCCTTGCTAGGTTTCGTGTGAATAATTTCTACTTCTCTGTGTCACCTACCTACCTACCTACTGTGAAGTTAAAGAGAGTCCTTGACACCATCCAGTGAGCTCCTTCTTTGGAGAAAAGACAGGTAACAAACACAGTAAGATACAGAAACATCTTTACTGAGATGAAGTTTTAACAGGTGCAAGTCAGGCTTAATTCCCCTGTGAAACATAGTGAGTAACACAGCATTGCTACAACTCTTGAGTGTGTCTGAGGAATTTTGGTCCATACCACCAAATTTAAGCAGACACCAGGACCATTCAGTATGCTTCGCCAAGTGCAACGGGGCTTGCTCCTGAGTAACGAATAGAATTGAATGGTGTGTCTGAAAACAGACATCCTTGCCAATAAGGGTTTCTGTCATTTGACCTGAATAGTGGAGTAATTAGGAAATAACCCAGAGCTGTCTTCCGAGAAGTTCCTGTTTCCACAGGCCTGGCTGCCAGGATGAGTCAGGAGGGACTATAAAGCGGTCCTCTGAAGAGGTCACGTTAGTCCACTCTTTCATAAGACTTGCCCAGGAGGAGGAGCTCCCAAATGAAAAGGGCAAGTGGCTGAAGCGAGCAGAAACGGTCCTCTGCTCATCACCTCGGAGAGGAACAAAGCCAGCCAGCCAGTACAGGAGGAAAGGAAGGCGTTTTTCATCGTCAGAATGGGCTTCTTTCCCTTCTTCTCCCTCGAAACTTGGGCACTCACAGTCATCCTCTCGGTCCTTCTTCTGCTGTGAGTGTGGGAAGGGACGGAGGGAGGCGGGAAGGGGCTGTGGGAAGGGAGCACCGGCCTCTTTGGTGAAAAACCTCTGCGGAAAGGAAGATGTTTTGATGCTTTAAAAACTCTGTTTGGAAAAGCCGTTGTTCTGTCGGGAGACCTTGTGGTGAATTGATCAAGCCTTTGAAATCTGGAACTAGGCTGCTTAAAAATTCTGCTGTTTCTAGGTCTTATTATTCTTATTAGTTGTCTTTGCTGAGAATATGATGGGACTTGAGTTCTGTTTTTTTGCACTTGGAGCTCTCCAAAGCTTTCTGTATCCCTCTTCCTGCTTCATACTTACCAGACATGAAACAACCTGGTCTTTTCCCGGAAACCCTCCCCTCCCATGTTTGCACGAATGAACTAGCAAAACAGAGCTTTTTTTGAAAGTCTACAGGCAGAAATTCAACAGGGGTGGCTTCCTGCAGCTGGAGATTTCTGTGTGGGAAGGATGATACCCAGTTTCTGCTGGATTTTATAGCCCATTGTGCCTCCTGAGATAAAAGCCAGACTGTGTAGTTACCCCGACAAGCTGCGCAGCCCCAGGGCAAATCCGGGAGGAGGGAATGGTAAAATGCTCCTATGTAATTCTATACCTAGAAAACCCTGCAAAAGGTTGATATTGGGATTGCTTTGACAGCATACATCACACAAAGGGATAGAGGTTTTGAATTCTAATCATTGTTCAAGAATAGGTTTGAGTGCCTGGCCGAACAGATGGCAGGGGCAACAAACAGGACCCACGAATGACATCAGATTGTGTTGGTTTCCCTTCCTGCACATGGCAGGGTGGGAAGATGAACTCAGAAGACATGCCCATCATGGGGAGGTTGGGGACAGTGCCCGGCGTTTATCCACAGAGGCCGGGAACAGCCTTGGCAGGAGACGAGGCCGGATGAATGATTTCTTTCTTTGTCTTTTCAGCTACGGAATCTGGCCCTTCAATTTCTTTAAGAAGCTGGGGATCCCTGGGCCCAGGCCTCTGCCCTTTGTTGGGACTTTCCTCGAATACCGACATGTAAGTATTTGGGGGCAGGAAGACCCTGCGTTCCTCTGAGATGTTTTTGGTGTCCCCTCCGTGGTCAGTTCAAGGGCGGGCTTAGATCGTTTTCTGTTTTCTTGTTCTGTGCTTCTCTGACATCTCTTTTTATTATGTACTCTGGCAGGGGATTATTGAGTTTGATGTGAAGTGCCATCAGAAGTATGGCAAAATCTGGGGGTAAGTATCCAACAGAATGAACCCCTTTCCCCACCAAGAGAGATCTTGAAAACGTGGTTCTGGGGGTGTCTGAATATTGCTCAGATGTTGACCTCCCTGATTTCTGTCCACAACAGACATGCAAAGGCATGTCAGATTGAGCTCGGAGACCCAAGCTCTCACCGTTTATTTGCTACCTGGATGTAGTTTGTGGGTCAACTGGAAGTTGATTTGGGTGGGACTGAGTACAGGTCATCCAGACACTGAAGGGGAAGGAGAATATTTTTAAAACATCTAATAACTTTTTTCTAACTTGTTTTTAATTCTTGGTCTTTCTTTTTTTCATAAATTGTGAGCTCTCTTGAATCCCACTACTGGTTGAAAGCTGGAAAAGCAATACAATCAATCAATCAATCAACCAGTCAGTCAGTCAGTCAGTCAATGAGTCAATCAATCAATGAATCAATTGATCAATCAATCAACCAGTCAGTCAGTCATTCAGTCAATGAGTCAATCAATCAATTAATCAATTGATCAATGAATGAATCAATCAATCAATAACATTACTATGACTTTTTTGTTGCAATTAGAATTTTTGATGGCCGACAGCCAGTTCTGGCTGTCCTCGATCCTACCATGATCAAGACCATCTTAGTGAAAGAATTCTACACCCATTTCACCAATCACCGTGTAAGTAACCACAATGGATCTTTCTCCGATAAACTTAGGTGTACGTAAGTCCTTGTTTCCCAATGGGTACCCAGTGTGGTGTAGTGGATAGAGTGACAGCTTAGGTCTCCAGGGACCAGGGAGCAACACCCTGCTCAGAACTAGCTGGGGATGTGGAACTTGTAAAGCCATTCTTTAAACGTCTCACCTTGAAAGGCCTATTAGGTTCATTATAATTTAATATAATATTACCTTATACACACTTGCATGCACCAACGCCCCTGAACGTTCATTTAGATTGTTATGAGGCCAAAGTCTTATAAAATGAATGGCATTCTTGTTTTTTCTTTCTACGTCCTTATCAAAAAGCAAAGTTAAAGTAGTGTTCATCTTTCCACCCCCTTTTTAACAGTTCTTTTGTACAATATATGGTTATTCTCATTAGTTTCCACATCTATTTTTTTGTTAAGCAACATTTTCAGCAAATGTAACTTACACAGCAAAACAAACAGCACTCCATTTTTTCTTTATTATTGTTTGTTCACATAGCATAAGCATCGTTTTTAAAGCAAAGTTAAAGTAGCATTCATCTTTCCACCCCCTTTTTAACAGTTCTTTTGTACAATATATGGTTATTCTCATTAGTTTCCACATCTATTTTTTTGTTAAGCAACATTTTCAGCAAATGTAACTTACACAGCAAAACAAACAGCACTCCATTTTTTCTTTATTATTGTTTGTTCACATAGCATAAGCATCGTTTTTCACCTTCACGAAACTCAATGAACTTGCTACTGCCATTTTATCTTAGCAGTTCTCTTTCTACCAAAACTAACCAGCTGTGTTTTGTTTTTATAATAAACTTAGATCTCCACTGTGGTTGGTTTTAAAAATTACTTTCACTCTTAGGCACCTTTCTGAGGCCCTTGCCTTTTTAAAAAAAGGACTTTTCAAATTTTTAGTGGTACAGTTTTGCACTCCATTCAAATTATTTGCATTATATACATTATAAATATCTCTCTCTCTCTCTCTCTCTCTCTCTCTCACACACACACACACACACACACACACGCACACCCTGTTTTCCTGAAAATAAGATCTAACCTGAAAATAAGCCCTATTACAATTTTTCAGGATGCTCATAATATAAGCCCTACCCCAAAAATAAGACCCATTTAAGTGAATCCTGTTTTCCACCCTGGTGCATGTCTGTAAAATAAAACATCCATGAAAATAAGCCCTAATGCATTTTGGAGCAAAAATTAATATAAGACCCTGTCTTATACTGTCACATATTTATATAAAAAACCCATATGACCCCTTGGCAGAGAAAACATGGTGGCAGCGGTGGGATATTATTTTAATGAGGGAAAAGCCTTATAAAACTAACGGCATTCTTGTTTTTCCTTTCTACATGCTTATCAATCAGCAAAGATAAAGTTGCATTCCATATATTTTTTACTGCCACACATTTTTATAAAGAAATCCAGAATTGACAAGATAATGTCAACATTTTAGAAATGCAGAGCCAGAAGGGACCTCACAGATCTTTGAGTCTAGCCCCTGTCGAGAAAGCACAGTGAGGAATTGAACCCCCAACCTCTAGCTCTGCAATCAGAGACCTATACAATATATAATAATGTAAAAGAGAAGATATGAATTACAGACATAACTCAATGCTCATTATTATTTTCTCTTACGGTTTGCATTACGAAGAACTATGGTTTGAATGGACACTTAGAAGCATCGGTATTCTCGGCCCCAGATGACAAGTGGAAGAGGATTCGCACAGTCCTGTCTCCCACTTTCACCAGCGGGAGACTGAAGGAAGTAAGTTATGACTTCTGTCTCTCTTGGATATCATGCTGCCTAAGAAGTATTTTGGCCAGTCTGTTTCATAGATTCTCAGCAATCATAAAACAACTGAAATCGTAAGAAAGCAAATTCGCCTTGAGTTTAGCATTCTGTCATAGAAATAGCTTTGGACTGTCATTGTAGAACGAAGGGCTTGATTGCTTTTATATTCTGTGTGAAGGGATGTATTAACTTTATCTCACTTTTTGCTCCATCCGTATCTCACTAAATGCATCAGATCCTTGGGGGAGGTCCTTCTCTTAGTGCTGTTGTGTTTCCAAAAGCTGGATCATCAGAACAATGTGATGCTGACTGCAGATCCACTGCAAATAGCTTGTTGGTGGCGGTGCCACTTAATCAATGGCATCTTAGATTTTGATCTGTGTTCCAGATGATGCCTATAATCCTCCATTATGGGGAACTCTTGGTGAGGAACATCCAGAAGAGAGTGGAGAACAATGAACTCATAGACACAAAAGCGTGAGTAATCTTATGAGGCTACGGCTGCCTATTTTAGAGGGGAAGCAAATCACAGAGATGCTCATGAAAGATCTCAGAAGAAGAATAGTTGCCATTTTGTATGCCTCTGTTTGATTTCTGGATGGAGCTCTATATAAATACGGAGGATTAATTTGAGAGATCCTCTTACATGTGCAGAGTAATTCCTGTATTTACTCTCTGGGAAGGCTTCTACCGTTTGATTCTCCTTAACGTGTATAGTACTTCGAGTAAATGTCTCTGAGAAATAAAGGCATGATTGTTATTACAAAAGTCTGTTTTTCAAAAAGCTCTGTTTGAAATACATTGTCATCACATGAAATATGTTTGTGCTTTCTTCATCTCTTTTTCCAGTATTTTTGGGGCCTACAGTATGGACGTGACATCCAGCACTGCCTTCAGCATTGACGTAGACACTATAAACAACCCTGGTGATCCTTTTGTCAAGAAGGTCCAGAAGCTATGCACGTCAAGTCTTGTAAATCCACTGCTAATCTTGACTGGTATGGAGAACCACGTCCTAAAGCATTTTGATCCCTTACTCTGTTGGAAAAATGCAGTGGATTGGAAGGTGGTGGCTGAGCTTTCCCTTATAGATTGCCACTCTGTTTACCCAGCTCTTGCCTGTCCCTTGATGGTCATTATGAGCCATCACAAACCTTCAAGGCAAAGCAACACAACCCTCCTTCTTATCCCTTTTCCCCCCCAAGATGGAGGGAAAATCCTTCGGCGAAATATATCTCCTCAAGTTTCATGTTTGAGGTTCTCCTGCCAAGAAAGTGATGGGTTGTAACAAGTATCTCATCATTTCTCTTAAAAAGAGCTAAGTGGGACTTCATGACGGGCTTTCCCCTCTAAACAATCTCTTTGTTTTTCTCTTAAGCTGTGTTTCCATTCCTCGTACCATTGTTGGAGAAACTAAACTTCACCATCCTATCTTCTTCTGTGATGAATTTCTTCATGTCCATAGTGAAAAAAATCAAACACCAGCGGCAAATGAGTAAGCATATGGTCAGTTCAACCTCTTGTGTGGTCTGCTACAGATTCATCATTAAAATGAATTTCTTAACTCCTTAATTTAATTTCTTTAAAAAGAAATAAATATCCTGCCTCATGACCACCTGCCCTAAACTATGTTGAATAACTTTCTGATTCTTGAATACCTCTTTGAATTTCAGGAACAGTGAAGCATATATCTGTTCATTCTGCGAACCGCGAACTCTCTCTGTTCCTCTGCAGGGGCGGGTTGACTTTCTGCAGCTAATGGTGGACTCCCAGATTTCAGGAGACATCTCTGATGGGGCAAATTCATATAAAGGTAAACAGAAAGGCAGCAATGGTAGCTTGTTACAGGTGCTCAACTGCATCCTGGACAAGAAAAATCATTCAAGGTTTCACAAAAGACAACACTGAAATATTTTGACATTGACCATGTCAATTGAGAGGCTCTCACTCAAACTCGAGAGCTGTTCTCAAATGGGAGGGGGCAAAAGTATTTGAAATACAAAGAATAAAAAATGCAGAATGGAAGAGAGAAGTGAGAAAGTGAGGATTCCATTCCCACTCTTTCCAGAACTCTAAAGTTCCTCGCCTTGGGAATAACATCCAGAACTCTAAAGTACAGGAAATAAAAGGAGAAGTGCATGAAATGGAGAAGAGGAGATAGAGATTCTAGCTAGCTCTTTTTCTTCCTTCCTTACAAAGTAGAACAATGTGCCATATTGATCCTGCCAGAATGAAGCAGAGAGCAAGAGGCAGCCGTGCTGGGGAGGAAACATCTCCATTCCTCCATTTAGAAAATCAGGGAGAGTCAGTCCTTCTCCTTGTTGATTAAGAGCAGCCCCACAGATGACAGCACGGGTTTGAGAGAAAGGAAGAGTCAAGGATAAGAAATGTGGAAGGACCAGAGCTTCAAAAAGAAAAAAAAAAACATAACCTCCCTGTTCTCAAAAGGAGAACTAATCCTGATCCATGGGTGTCTGAACCTCCTCTTAAACAAAAAAAATAGGATGTATAGATGACCTCTCAATTCATTACACAGAGCTTACAAATGTTGAATTTTTGTTATTGCCTGATTCCATGTAGAATTAATTTACCTCTGTATTTTTTTCCCGTCCTTATTAATTTTCAGCTCTGACTGACGAGGAGGTTTTGGCACAGGCCATTCTTTTTATTATTGCTGGTTTTGAATCCACTAGCAATGCCCTTACCTACCTGTGTTACTCTCTGGCCACCCACCCCGATGTCCAGCAGAAGCTACAGGAGGAAATTGACAACCAGGTAATAGTAGTAGCCGTCCTTCTGTCTCGAGAGACAAGGGTCACGTGCTCTGAATGGAGGCCTTGGAACAGCGTTTAGTGTGGCTGAGAAGGCCCATTCGAGAGTGACAGCAATCTCTTCCACACTGAAGACAAATACAATCTGTCCCCTGTCTGGCTCCCTGATTTGGCTGGTTTGAGGACCAGGTAAAGTCCTCAGTGATCATCATCATGCTAAGTGATCTGAATTTTGTGGAACACAATTTTGCAATTTTTTTCTAAACAAAAAAGGGTAAAGGCCTCAGTGATCATCATCATGTCTCATATTGTGAACAACAGGCTTAGTGATCTGAATTTTGTGGAACAAAATTTTGCAATTTTTTTCTAAACAAAAAAGTCTGTGCTTAGCTCTTGATTAGTGAGATAATCTTGAAGGCATTAGGCTACTCTGTCTCCAAGACCTAAGTAATGATAGAAGAAGAATTTGAGATAAAAGCCACCTGGGGAATCTCTTTGAAATGATTGGTCCTAAGGCCTACTCACAGAGTAGAAGTAAAATAGAGTTTAGTGAAGAGTTCAGTAAATCTGGACAGGAGATTCTGCAGACTGGGGGCCAAAACATTTACTCTGGAACTCCCTGCCTGTCCTTCAGAGGCAGAGAGGTTTAGTAGCATCCTCCCCATATGACAGATTTCCTGACCTATCATATCTGTTTGAAGGAGTTTTTCCGGAGGAGTTTGTTGAGTAAGTGCACTGTTAATGTTGGATTTGAAAACTCAAGAAGGTTGCGCAAATCAAATGCTACTAATTAGGGAAGCGGTGATACTTTTTCTGATACGAATGACTTCTTTTTTGTTATCCTTGTTAAAATTTGAGAAGCTGAATGGATGAAGATTACTGAACGCTGCTAAAACAGTAGAATGAAATTTTCCGTGGGTTATTTTGGGCTACAAAACCCCATAACTCTCCTTTTTACCTAACAAACACCTTACAGGCAGCAAAATGTGGATCATCTGGGAGAAAAGTTTCAGTAAGGTATGTGGTTCATTTTGATGAATGAAAGAAAGCAGACAAAAGATGAATAGAGACTAGTATTTTGAACCTCATGTAGCTGGAGCTCTGCCAATCCCTCCACAACCTGAGCAAGAAGGTGATGAGACACCAAGAGAAAAGGGGACATTGATGGAGATGTCGAGGCTGTTGAAATGAGGCAAGATTGGTTGTAAATGGGTTCCTACAAAAATATGGGAAGACGTCAATGAAACCTTTGCTCCTTTTGTCTAGCATAGCACAATCCTGAGTGTGTTGCAGCCTCCAGTAAGACGCAAGTCAAGTACCTTGATGTCAAGACTGCATTTCTACAAGAAGAAATTGCAGAGTAGCTGTACATGGAGATTGCCACTGGGCTTCATCAAACAGAAACATCCTGATTTTGTATGTTAACAAAAGAAAGGCTTGCATGGGCTTCTAATGCCTGGAAGGAGAAATTGAAGAAGATGTATCTACTACCATAGGAATAGACACAGAAAAGTTAATCAACTAGCACAGAATCATTGGACAGATGGGAAGAGAGTAGGACTCTATCTGAAAAGGATGATAGATTTTAAGTGAAGAATGCCAGTTATTCAAAACCCATCGCTTTCAGGCCACACTGATGCAGGCTGGGAAGAGAACAATATGGACCACAGTCCCACTAGTGGTCCACTGGTGGTTTCCTGTTCATGTATGGGGCTGGTCCTACTTTAATGGACCAGTCACCAACAAGAGGTTGGGGTTTGCCTTCCACCAAGTCTGATTTCATTGTTCCAGCTGAAGCATGCAGAGATCGGCCCTGCCGGGATCAGGGGCTGGATGACTTTGGGATAAACAAACAGATGCTAGTCCAGTTGATGGAAGAAGACCAGAGAGGCTTTTTCAAATTGAGAAAATGAAGGCATGCACCAAACACATGGGCGTGAGATACCACTTGCTGCATTACCTAACCGAGAAAGGGGTCATCGAGATAGACTGCCACACCACAGAGAGGACAGCAAGCATCTTCCCCACCAAACCTCTTTGGAGAGACTGCTTCCACAATCTGCGTAGCGAGAAAGGACTTCAAGAGGGCCTCCGCATGCAAGTCTGAGAAGGGGTGTTGCAGATTTATTTATAATAGCACATGCTAGCTATAGTTTGAGTAAATGGGAGGGGCTGATGGGACTCAGGTGATTGTCTATGTATGCAACATGAACCAATAATCCTTTCATGTTTTTATAATTTACAGGGAGCTCTCTCCTCTCTGTGTGTTTCATCCATCCCTTTTTTCACTTGGTGGCTGTTGTTTCTTCCTATTGACCTGATCAGTTGGTTGCTAGAATGTGTGCAGTAAAGAAAATACTCTACACAAGCCTGTAATTTCAAACACATGCAACTAAAGAATCATTTTAATTTTTTTTTTCTCCTACAAACGTCACAAAGTCAGTTTTTGAGAATTTAAGTAAGGAACGGGACCACTCTTGGAACCTGAAGCTATTCTCCGCTGTGGACCTGTGTCCTTGCATTCTGTAGCAGAAAGAGAATTTTACATGAAATTTAACAGATTGATTTTCCATGTTCCATGATTCTGGTCCAGTTAATATTTCTAGAATGCCTCTGAAAGGCTGCGCTTTCTGTCCTTCACAGGCTCCTCCCACCTATGATGCAATTCTTCAGATGGAGTATCTTGACATGGTGGTCAATGAAACCCTCAGGCTGTACCCTCCAGGCGTGAGGATTGATAGGGTCTGCCGAAACACCGTAGATATCCATGGGGTGACCATCCCCAAAGGAACTGTGGTCGTCATCCCTGCTTTTGTTCTGCAACGTCTCCCAGAATATTGGCCGGAGCCGGAAGAATTCAGACCTGAGAGGTGGGTGGCAAGCAATCCTAGGAATGTCCTCAATGAAAATCGGTGATTTCCGCTCCTCAAATTCAACAAGAGTAGGCCGGTTGAATCAATGGGGTGAATAGAACTGTAGATATACCATTCCAAAAATTCGCTCTTGATTTGGAACAAACTATTTAGGCACAAGAGACCATTATATGGCCGGGGATTCGGTCATACCCTCAGCCAGCAATCCTGAAGGTGGGCACTGTAGGAGGAAGACTGTTGCCTGCTTCTGCCTTTCGTGAGGTCCAGCAAGCCACTTCACCCGTGCAACTCTGCCCTTCCTAAGCAAGAGAGGGACTCAAGGGGCCTCCTGCCGGGGTCCTGAAGGACAGATGTACGTAGCTTGTTCTTACAGTGAAGGAGAGGCAAATGTGGTAATAAACATTTATTTATCTGAAGAGCCCAGACTTTGGATCTGCCCTTAGATCAGTCATCTGATGAAAATCAGCTCCTTCCCCTCCTAGCTACTTTGTCGCTCTCTCTGGATTTGCACACAGGTTCAGCAAAGAGAACAAGGAAACCCTTGACCCGTACACTTTCCTGCCCTTCGGAGCAGGTCCCCGGAACTGCATTGGGATGCGCTTTGCTCTCCTGGTTTTAAAAGTGGCCGTGGTGGTCCTGCTGCAGAAATTCTCCTTCAGGACCTGCGAAGAGACGCCGGTAAACTACAAAGGCTTCTGTCTGTCTGTCTGTCTGTCTGTCTCTCTGTCTGTCTGTCTGTCTGTCTGTCTGTCACAAATGTGTGCACGCATACACACACACACACACACACACACACACACACACACATTTAGAGAGACAGAGAGAGAGAGACTGATGGACAGAGTGACAGACAGACTATATTTTTATGCTGCCTTTCTCCTGAAGATGGTCTCAAGGCAGGTTGCTTCAGGAAAAAAACAATATTTAAAAGCTAAAAACAGTAAGTGTATAAATACTTGAAAAGAATCTAACAATTACCATAATAAAATATTAAGCAAAATCAATACGAAAACCAGAGCAGAAAGGCCCAAGCTTCCTCACTCAAGCAGCCAGTCATTAAAATAAAGTCTGCTTGACGAGAAAGGCGTTTGTTTGCTTGTGGAAACGCATCAAAGAAGGGGCCAGCTTGGCCTTCCCTGAGAGGGAGTTTCAGAGTCGGGGAATAGCGGCTGGGAAGGTTGCCTCCTACATCCACATCAAACACACCTGTAAGGATAATGAGACCAAGAAAAAGGCCCCACCCTGTTTATCTTTAATACCTTGGCAGTTTTAGAAAAGGCAACGTGGTCCTTGAGGTATCTTGGATCCAAGCTGTATGTACACACTGAGAGAGGGAGAATATATATATTCTCTCTCTCTCTCTCTCTCTCTCTCTCTCTCTCTCTCTCTCTCTCTCTGCTAGACTGCTTAACTGCTTATATGTAATTGTTCACAAAAAGGAAATGTTGTTGTTGTTGTTCAGTCGTTTAGTCGTGTCCGACTCTTCGTGACCCCATGGACCAGAGCACGCCAGGCCCTCCTATCTTCCACTGCCTCCCGGAGTTGGGTCAAATTCATGTTGGTCGCTTCGCAGACACTGTCCAGCCATCTCGTCCTCTGTCGTCCCCTTCTCCTCTTGCCCTCACACTTTCCCAACATCAGCAAATAGCCAGTTCCAATCCTGAATGTGTATCTCTACTTGATTGTTTTGCATCATTTGCTCCCAGTCCTTGGGGAGGGCAAGTTAAATCTTGCTGGTCAATTAGCTGTTCAATCTTCCTTTTAAACCATTCTGTAATCATTTTTTTCTCCATCTCTCAACTCCATATACCTCCCCCCCACACACAAAGATTGCCTTGGAACTTAACAGCCAGCTCTTCGTGCAACCAAAGAAGCCGATCAAACTGAAGTTCGTTCCCCGAAAGGCTGCTGGATCGGAGGACTAGAGAAATAGGAAACGGCAAGGCGGCCGATGCCACAGCCCTCCTCCTGCCTCACATCCTTGGGTCGCCTGCATGAACAGAAGGACCAAAGTCTGCAAATGGGGCACCATGTTTTCCAACACTCCCCTCCACATCACTAAGGACTAGTAACTTGAAGCAGCAGAATTGAAAACAGGACATTGTGATTTTTGATCTCAAGAAAATCACTGAAATCTTATCCTCATAGATTAAATGCATAACTCTCTGCTGAGATGTAAACCTATTTAATTAGAAAAACACAGACTGTATAGAATTGTAACTTTTCTGAACTTAGTTTATATACTTAGTTTATATACTATGAAATTTATAGGTGAATAGAATGAATTTTTGCATTTTAAATTAAACTTAATCACACCAGGTTGACAAAGTGTTTGTTTTTAATTCAGCTTATTTATTTATTTATTTAATGATTTAACCAATAAAAGGCCCAGTGCTACTTCCATCATTAAAAACACAATAGTGGAGGCTAAAAACAGACTATTATTCAAACATCAAGGAGAAATTTATAATATGATGTTTAAAACATAAGGTAAAAACATTTCTAAAAACAGATTTAGGAGCAACAAAATATGAACCATCCTGTTTATGACCTCCTAGAGAGTCAGTCACAAAGCAGAAAGGTCTTCACCTGATTGTGGAAGGACAGCAAAGAAAAGATGGGGTTGACCCAGCGTTCCTTGAGGGAGTGGCGGGCACTGTAGGAGGAAGAATACTGGTTGCTTCACCCTTTAACGAGGTCTAGCAAATATGTTCTCCTGTTTGTTTCTGCCCAGCCCATGCAACGTTGCCATTCCTAAGTCACAGATAGACTTGAAGGACCTCTTGCTGTGGTCTTCAGTGACAGGTTTATGTAGCTTATCCTTGTAAGAAGGAGAGGTACATTTGGTAATAAAAGTCCCCTGCCTTGAGCTTGAGATAAATAAATGTATTTATTTATCTCCTTTGAAACCATTCTCTGCCGTTGGATCAAGGCTCTGACAAACCTGAGGTCCTTCTGCAGATAATCATTCTCAGAGAACTAGCTTGGCTCCCTGGTCCCCTTGAGCAGTGGAGGGTCAAAGCGGTTCCTTCCTCCCTCCTTCCCAGGACTCACTTTTCCAGTTCTCCTGTTCTCTTTCGTGAGCTGCACACAGGTTCAAGTTTTCCCATCTGCTGAGGTCCATTCCTAAGGTCTTCAGATCCCGCTTGCAGATGCCCTTGTATCGCAGCTGTGGTCTCCCTCTCCTCCTATGTCCCTGCACTAATTCTCCATACAGGAGATCTTTTGGAATCCGATGTAGGACACTAATGACAACTAAAACCACAGGAAGTACAAAATTAGATTGGACAACAACTGAAGAGAACCAAGATCAGATTTCCATTCAGCCATGCTTGCGTAAGCTCAATGAGTTGGAGTACTTGGTTGTGGAGCCAGGGAGCAGGAGATCAATTCCACTATGGGCCTTGTAAGAGATGAGCCCGTTTGTGTGTCTTTGGACATATAACATGGTTCCAGAGCAACTCCAGCAGAAACAGAATGGGAAACCTCTGCTGAGTGTTGAGTGGCTGAAATCCTGTTGCTTAGTTAGAGTAGGGCTAAATGAATCAGTGGAACCCACAGAAGATCTACCCGTGTCACTCGTGCGAGCCAGGAGGGGAGGCTGAGGAGCCTAACGCCAAGGGAGGCCCGGAAGGAAAAGACAAGAAATCGAGCCTTCTCGGCAGTGGCTCCTTGCCTCTGGAACAACTTACCTCCTGAGACTCGCATGGCTCCCTCGCTGGGTATCTTTAAAAACCAATTAAAAACATGGATGTTTCGGCAGGCCTTCCCATCAGATAATTCCTGATGCCCTTTTTCTTTCCCTTTCCTATTGTTTTTTCCCATCTTTTTTAATGTTTCTGTTGTGCAAAAATTGTTTTATATATATGTATTGTATTATTTTATGTTGTTAGCCGCCTAGAGTGGTCCTAATCCGACCAGATAGGTAGGATATAAAATGAATGAATGAATGAATGAATGAATGAATGAATGAATGAATGAATGAATGAATGAATGAATGAATGAATGAATGAATGGAAATTGTATGCTATCAAGTCAATGCTGACTTGTGGTGATTCTTTTCAGTGTTTTCTAGGTAGGGAGTACTTGTAAGAATGGAGACAGAGGCCCATTGTCAGTGGGCTTTCTTGTCTTTCCCTGGGACCTGCTGAGTTTCCCACTACAAGCTCCCCTACAGATCTGGGAGAAACTGCAGTATTCTGAAGTGTGACTCCCCAGGGGAACCAGAAACTCAGGAAGGCCTTGTTGACAAGAAAGAGGAAGGAATGGAAGAAGGGAAACCTTCCAACCTGACAAGGGCTGGCAGGGCTCACAGTATTCCAAAGTAGCTTACCATTCGGGCCAAAGAGCCCGAAAAACCCACAACACCCCATTGGAATGCATTAAACAGGTTTCAGTGTATTCCAATGAGGAAATGCTTTTCGCTAGAGAATGATTTCACTAAACAGCGATTTCAGTGGAAAGGATTATCATCGTCTAGCGAGGCACCACTGTAATGTTTTGTCGGGACAGCTGGTAAGGGCAGGAAATGGTAAGGGGGGATGCAATATGTGAAACAATCAAGACTTTCAAACATTGAACTAAGCTTCTTGAAAAAAAATTCACTTCTGCTCAACACAGCTATTTCAAATGACTGGAAATGGTCCCCTTCTGTCTCTAGATTTTATTGTTCTTATTAATTGCCCTGGCTGAGAATATGAGGGGACCCAGGCTTTTCCACTGGGAACTGTCCAAAGTTTTCTATTTCCTTTTTCATTCTTCACGTTTACCAGACAGGAACATATCTAGAATCACCCTAGTCCTTTTCCAGAAACCCTCTCCTCCCCTGGTTTGCAGGAATGAACTAGCAAAACAGAGTCTTTCTGAAGGTCTACAGGCAGAAACTCAACAGGCGTGGCTTCTTGCAGCTGTAGAATTCTGTGTAGGAAAGGTGACACCCCTTCAGTTTCTGCTGGATTTTATAGCCCACTCTGCCAGCCTGTGTAGTCATCCGGGAAGTTGCACAGTCCCAGGACAGCCCCAGAACGATGGCATTGCAAACCACTTCTGTGTATTCTGTACCTAGCAAATCCTTGAAGACGCCACCATAAGTTGGAACTGCCTTGACAGCAGAAAACACACATAAGGGTAGAGGTTTTGAGTTCTAATCATTGTTTCAGCATGGGTTTGAGTGGCTGGCATAATAGACGGCAGGTATAGTGTACTGGAACCAGCCCTTCCTGCACATGGAAGGTGGAGGAGATGAACTCAGAAGAAATGCCCATTATGGGTAGTGTGGGGACGGTGTCCGGCGTTTATCCACAGAGGCCGGGACCAGCCTTGCCAGGAGACGAGGCCGGCTGAATGATTTCTCTCCTTGTCTTTTCAGCTACGGAATCTGGCCCTACAATTTCTTTAAGAAGCTGGGGATCCCTGGGCCCAGGCCTCTGCCCTTTGTCGGAACGTTCCTTGAATACCGACATGTAAGTATTTGGGGATAGGAAGACCCTGCATCCCTCCGAGACACTTTCGGTGTCCCCTCTGTGGTCAGTGCAAGGGCGAGCTTGCTGAGTTCTCTGTTTTCTTGCTCCATCCTTCTCTGACCTCTCTTTTTATCAACTCTTGCAGGGTGTGGTCCATTTTGACATGAAGTGTCATCAGAAGTATGGCAAGATCTGGGGGTGAGTCTCTTGCAGAATGATACACCATCGAAAAGGATGGATTAGTTAAAACGTGCTTCTGGGGGTGTCTGAATATTGCTCAGATGTTAACTTCCCTGATTTCTGTCCACAACAGACATGCAAAGGCATGTCAGATTGAGCTCGGAGACCCAGGCTCTCCCCTTCCATTTGCTACCTGGATGTAGTTTGTGGGTTAACTGGGAATTGATTTCCTCCTAGTGGGTGAGACCAACTACAGTTAACCCAGGCACTGAAGGGGAAGGAGGAATTTTTAATTTTTTTAATACATTGTTTTTATTGCTTGGTCTTTCTAATTGATTTGTGTCCTCTTTGAGTCCCATTGTGGGGCCAAAGATGGTAGTAAAAGAAATGCAGTAAATGAATAAATAAAATTTCTTTTGCTTCTTTATTGGCACTAGATTTTTCGATGGCCGACAGCCAGTGCTGGCTATTCTGGATCCTGCCATGATCAAGACCATCTTAGTGAAAAAATTCTATACCCATTTCACCAACCACCGGGTAAGTACCCACTATGGATTTTTCCCTGATAAGCCTATTTTTATATTTTTACTTGTGTACCCAGTGCAGTGCAGTGTACAGAGTGGCAGATGAGGACTCTGGAGATCAGGATTCAAGTACCCACTCAGTCCTGGTAAATCACTGGGGGTGTGGAACTTGCAAAGCCACTCTTTAAATATCTCAGTTAACTTGAAAGACCTATATTACTTAATGGCATAAACTCACACACACACACATACACACACAAACATCCCTCAAGATTCATTTAGACCATCATCAGTCACCACCTTAGAAATGCAGAGCTGGAAGGGACCCTATGAATCCTTGAATCCATCCAGCCCCTGCCAAAAAAAGCACGGAGGGTCTTGAACTCCCAGCCTGCAGCTCTACAGTCAGGAGACCTAAACAATATTGTAAAAGAGAGGATCCAAATTACAGAACTCCTGGCTCATTCTTATTTTCTTTTATGTCTTGCCTGACTAAGCTCTTTGGTTTGAATGGAGAGTTGGAAGCATCCCTAGGTGTCGTCTCAGATGAGCAGTGGAGAAGGATCCGCACCGTTCTCTCTCCCAACTTTACCAGTGGGAGATTAAAGGAAGTAAGTCATGAAGGCTGTCTCTCCTGGCTAACATGCTGCCTAAGCAATATTTTAGTCAGTCTGTTTCATCTTTTTTCCACTAATGTTAAAGCAACTGAACTCCGAACAAAGTTTAGAACTGCTGTCATACACATAGTTTGGGATCGTCATCCTAGAAGGAAGGACTCGGTTTCCTTTAATTCCTGTGTGAAGGGATGGTGCAGTATTAATCGTATCTGGTTTTTTGCTCAAGCCATATCTCATGTAATACACCAGATCCTTGGGGGAGGCCCTTCTCTTGGCCCTGCTATGTTTCTAAAAGCTGGGCCACCCAACAATGCGAAGCTGCCAGAAAAGCCAATGCAAACAGCTCGTTGGTGGTAACTCCATTTAATGGATGGCATCTCAGGCTTTGATCTGTGTTCCAGATGATGCCTATAATCAACCATTACGGGGAAATGCTGTTGAAGAATGTCCAGATGAGAATCAAGAACACTGAATCCATAGACACAAAAATGTGAGTAGTTTTATGAGGCTATGGCTTCCTTTTATATAGAGAGTGGGAGTAAATTACAGTACAGAGAATTTCATGAAGAATCTCTGAGGAAGAGGTGCTGCCATTTTATGTCCCTCTGGACTGAGCTATACTCTTGACAAAACAATGTGGCTTGGACATTTCTGGAGTGCAACTTTCATACTGCAGATAGAGGATGCACAATAGGATAACTTTGTGCATTCTGGAAGGAGCTTAGGAATTTGTAGATCAAAACACCACGAGTTCCATTTGTGTTCCTATGTAAGTTATTCATTAATTTAGCTTTCTCTATGCAGAAAGGAAATGTACAGCAAACTGACAACTCAAGTAAAAGCCTCTGAGTATAAATATGGAAGATTCATTTGATAGATCCTCTTATATGTGGAGGGTAATTCCTTTAACTTCCATACTCTAGAAAGGCTTCTACCATTTGATTCTCCTGAACTTGTACTTTGAGCAAATGCCTCTAAGAAATCAAGGCATGCTAGTTAATATAAAAAGCTGTTTCTCAAAAGTCTCTATTTGGAGTAGATTGTCAGCACATGAAATGTGTTTGTGTTTTCTTCATATCTTCCCTCCAGTATTTTTGGGGCCTATACTATGGATGTGCTGGCCAGCACTTCACTCAGCATTGACACAGACTCCATAAACAACTCCAAAGATCTTTTTGTCAAGAAGGTCCAGGAGCTATTCAACTTGAGCCTTATAAATCCACTGCATATCCTGACTGGTATGAGGAGCCACGTCATAAATTATGTTGACTCCTTTTTTTGCTTAAATAAATGCTGGGCTTGGATTCAAACGTGGTGAGGTTTCCTTTATGGATGGCCACTCTGTCTGTCCTGCTCTTCCCTGTCCATTCATGATCAATATGAGCCCTCACAAACCTTCAAGGCGAAACATCAGAGTCCCTCTTCCTTTCCCCTTCTCACTTTTTACCCTGGGAGTAAAAGATTTCCCCATGTCCCATGTTTCAAGTCCTCCTGCCAAGAAGGTGATGGGATGTGACAGATATCTTATTATTTCCTTTCAAAAGAGCTGAGAGTGCTTTTCCCTTTAAACAATCGCTTTGTTCTTTTCTTCAGTTGTCTTTCCCTTCCTCAAACCATTGCTGGATATACTAAACTTCACCTTACCACCTTCTTCTGTGATGACTTTCTTTACGGCTGTGGTGAAGAAGATCAAGAAAGACCGGCAAAAGAATAAGCATATGGTCAGTTCAACTTGTTGTGAGGTCTGCTACAGATCCATCATCAAGATAATGTGTGACAACATCTTTCTTTAACAAGAAATGAATATTCTGTCCTGAATCACCTGCCCTAAACCATGCTGAGCAGCTTCTTGATTGCTGAACACCTTTTTGGTCTGCAACTCCCTCTGTTTCCTTGCAGGACCGCGTTGACTTTCTGCAGCTAATGGTGGACTCCCAGATTTCAGGAGACATCTCTGATGGGGCAAATTCATATAAAGGTAAACAGAAAGGCTGCGATGGTATGGCTGTGCATTAGTTAACCGTGGAATATGAATTTTATCCCTTCTCGATTTCACCACACCCCTTTGTAACATGAAAGAACTGCTCCAGGGGGATTCCCAGCTTTGTAGAGCAAGCCTTTAAGTTGTGTGTGGGACTATAGAAGAAGGGTAGACCATTGATTTTGGAGGAAGCAGTGGGATCCAACAGAATTAGACCATAGATTTCTATTTTCACAAGGGGTCCTTGGGGATATAACCAGGATAGGCAGTGAATAGTGTAAAATTAAAAGACCTTCCAGTTTTGTGGCACATGGGCTTCCCATCCAGTTCCTACATAAGTGGATGGCTCAGTTCAATGCGGTTGGAACTGTGATTGCCTCCCCACAATATATCTGGAATGATTGAGAAGTATCAATTGTTTTCAGTCTTATATATTCTGCAAAGCACTGGGTAGCCTACAGGAAAGAAAACATAGTTGTTGATCTGTTCCTTTCCTCTTGCAATTATTTTTGCCTGAAAATCAGTACTGACCAGAGAGTCCAGAGGTACATCAACACCACTTTACTGCAATGGATAGGTTCACATATATCTGTAGCACTGTCTCTTGCTGTGTTCTCAGTAACTATGACATGACCTCACGAATCTCTAAAGCCAACACCACCTTTGGAAGACTACGGTCCTCTGTGTGAAATTCACACTGAATTGATCTATGTCATCAGTATATTGGACAAACATCTCAGTTTTCTGTGGGGATCTTACTGCAGATGGACAAAAGAGATGATTTACAGATACACTGAAAACAACATTAATATTGACCATGTCTAATGGAAAGCTCTCGCTCAAACTGGAGTGCCTTGAGAACTGTTATCAAACAAGGGACAAAAAAAATTGAAATAAAAACAATGAAGGGTGCACAAAGGAATGAGAGAAGTGAGGATGAAACTTCTTGACTGCTCAGCAATCCCAGGATTGGCTGATGTGCTATTTACCACTGTTTCTGTATATTTCAGGCTTGTATTAGGTTAATGATCACCCATGTGTCCGTCAATGTGCTACAGTTGAACTTAGCCACTCACTTCTCCCCTTTCCTCCTAAATTATGAATTTGATGGAATTAGTCTTTTCCGAAATGGAACAACAAGCTGTTGTTGCTGTTACTGTTGCTGTAGGGATGACTCACTCAAGACCTGTTCTAATTTTCCTTTTAATTTCAAGTTTCCACACAATATGTTCCCTGATTCGTCATCCAGTTCTCCACCTCCTTCCCTCCCTTTTCCGTGCCCTGTCTCCACTCTTTCCAGCCTTCTACAGTACCTCAATCTGGAAATCCCACCTAGAGTTAAAAAAAAAAAAGAAAAGAAAAGGGAGAATGCATGAAATGGAGAAGAGAAGCTTGGAGAGGTTAGCTCTTTTTTTCCTTCCAGATTAAAATAGCATGTCATATTAATCTTGCCAGCATGAAGCAGAGAGCGAGAGGCTGCTGTGTTTAGGGGGAAAAAAATCTACATTCCTCCTCTCTGTTGAATAAGAACACTCCCACAGATGAGATCACAAGTTTGAGAAAAGGGAAGAGAGAGGGATAACAGCTCTGGAAGAACCTGCACCAGGCAACCAAAACAAAGCATAAGAAAGCCAGTTCTCAAGAGAGAAAAGGTATTCCAGAAGTAGAAGAGAGAACTAAAGGATTGATTCAAGTCTCAACTGAAATCATGTAGATCTGTTATTAAACTAATCCAGATCAACGGGTGAATGAACCACGTCTTAAACAGGAACAAATAGGATGTGAGGATGGGCTGTAAATTCATTACACAGCATTTGCAAAGTTTAACTCCTACCAGTACTGTTATTGTTTGATTCTATGTTGTATTGATTTATCTTTGATTTTTTTCCTCCTCATTTATTTTCAGCTCTGAGTGATAAGGAGATTTTGACACAGGCCATTACCTTTATTTTTGCTGGTTATGATTCCATTAGCAATACCCTTGGCTATCTGTCTTACTCCTTGGCCACCCACCCGGATGTTCAGCAGAAACTCCAGGAAGAAATTGACAAGATACTTCCCAATCAGGTAAAGGCCTCAATTATCATCATAATGTCTCATGTTACAGACAATAGGTTAAGTGTTCTGCCTTGTATGGAACGTTATTTGCAGGAGGATTTTTAAAAAGTTAAGTGTCTAGTTCTTGATTATTTAAGTGTGAGAAAGTGGATTCTTGATTAATGAGATAATCTTGAAAGCACGCTGCTACTGTATCTTGAAGACAAGTGTGAGAAGGTGGACAGAAGAAGAATTGAGAGAGAAGCCCTCTGGGGAATCTCTTTGAAATGACCAGTCCTGATTCCTACTCACAGAATAGAGGTACAATAGTGAAGAGTTTAATCATCCTGGTTGGAGGATTCTGCAAACTGGCAGCCAAAAAATTTACTGTGGAGCTTGCTTGCCTCTTGATATATGCTAAGCTCCTTTCGTTCTGTCCTTCAGGAAGCATGTTAAAGCAGAGTTATTCAAAGAGATGTTCCCCTTTGTTATTTATATTTTTGGATTTAATGTTGGAGGTATGTACCTGACATTTCTAAACTGCTCAAAGTAGTGGCTTGTCACCAGATAGGCAGTATATAAATGCCGCCAAAAAAACAAAAAGAAGAAAGAAAGAAAGAAAGAAAGAAAGAAAGAAAGAAAATAAACTTTTCCAACCTGTGTATCACTGTGAGTTGGTGAGGCTAATGGTATTACTGCCTTGACCCCCTTAAATCATATTGTGCCAGCGTGTTTGCCCTTCAGAGGAATGATTAACAAATTCAAGCTGGCGGCATCCATGCCACTGCTTTACTCAGGAACAAAGTTAGTCAGCACGAAAATTCTGGGTCCCAACCAAGTCAGTCAAATCGAATCTACAAAACCAAAGTGTAGATTAACTTAACAGAGTCTTGAAGACCGATAGATATTCCTGGCTGAAGGAGTTAGTTAAATATGTCCGCTGTGAATATTGGATGTCACACCTACAAATATGTGTGCAAATCAAATGTTACCAATTAGGGAAGTGGTGATATTTTTTCAGAGATCATGTCTTTCTTTTTTGTTATTTTTGTTGTTTCGAGTGTTGCAGCCTCCAGTAAGATGCATGTCAAGCACTTAGGGGTCAAAACTGCATTTTTATATGGAGAGATTGAAGAGGAGGTGTACACTGGGCTTCATCAACCAGAAACATCCTGATTTTGTATGCAAACAAAAAAAAGGCTTGCATGGGCTGAAACAAGCTGTTCGGACCTGGAATGAGAAACTGAAGAAGATGCTGCTGCAGGCCTGAGAAGATGTTACCCGGGGATATATGCCAGAGTCCACTAATCTTAAATATATCCAGATGTAATCAAAAACAGCTGGATGGACATTCAGACCAAACCCAGGCAGATTAACATTGAAGAGCCTGTCCCCTACATTGGCCAGCTTTATATAAGGGTCACCTGCCACGTCTATCCAGCCTACAAAACAAAGGCTTCCAACAAACACTCAAAGACTGTTCCGTCCATCTCCTTTGTCACTTGGTAGCTGTTGTTTCGTCCCATTGACCTGTTCAGGTGGTTGCTAGTATGTGTGCAGTAAAGAAAATACTCTACACAAGTCTGTAATTTCGATCAAATGCAAGTCAAGAACATTTTTAGTATTTTTCTCCGACAAATGTCATAAAGTCAGACTTTAAGTGAGGAATGGGGGGGGGGGACTCTTAAGGCTTTGAACCTAATCTCCTCTGTGGATTGGTGCACTTCTACTGTGTAGCAAAGGAGGGATTTAAAACGCTGCAACAGATTGATGCGCCATTCTCTATGATTCTGGTCTGGTTAGTATATCTAGAATGCCTCCCCCAAATCGCACTTTCTCTTTTTTCACAGGCTCCTCCCACCTATGATGTGATCTTTCAGATGGAATATCTTGACATGGTGGTAAATGAAAACCTCAGGATATACCCAATAGGGGGAAGAGTTGATAGGATTTGCAAAAAGACCGTGGAGATCCATGGGGTGACCATTCCCAAAGGAACTGCAATCATCATCCCAGTTTTCGTTCTGCAACGTCTCCCAGAATATTGGCCAGAGCCGGAAGAATTCAGACCTGAGAGGTAGGTTGCAGGCAATCCTGCGAATGCCCTCCCCCAGAAGTTAATTTCCACCTCCAGAATCCAACGAGATAAAGGCCATTGAATCAATGGGATCTGTTGATCTGTTCATGTACTGTTCTGAAATCAGTCAAAGGATCTAAGGTGTATATTGCTTCCTCTCTCTCCCAGGATTCGCTTTCCCCTTCGAGTTCTCTCTCTTTCTCTCTCTCTCTCTCTCTTCGAGTTCTCTCTCTTTCTCTCTGTCTCTCTGGATTTGCACACAGGTTCAGCAAAGAGAACAAGGAAACCCTTGACCCGTACACTTTCCTGCCCTTCGGAGCGGGTCCACGGAACTGCATTGGGATGCGCTTTGCTCTCCTGGCTGTCAAAGTGGCCGTGGTGGTCCTGCTGCAGAAGTTCTCCTTCCGGACCTGCGAAGAGACGCCAGTAAACTGAGAACTTTTTTTTTGTAATCTCTCTCTCTCTCTCTCTCTCTCTTATTCTACACACACATACACACACACATACACACTGTGTGTGGAGATATAGATAGATAGATCTATACAAACAGAGAGAGGAGGATATATTCTATCCAGTTGTAGGGTTATTAGTTCGTAGATTATTAGTCTGGCTGCAGAGCCAGATGTTGGGAGTTCTTATTAGTTTGTAGATTATTAGTCTGGCTGCAGAGCTAGATGTTGGGAGTCCCATTCCCCACTGTGCCTCCTTGACCGGGGCTGGACACGATGATCCATTGGGTCCCTTCCAGCTCTGCAGTTCTAAAATGATAATTATCTAATGAACCTGTGTGTGTGTGTGTGTGTGTATGTGAGTATCAGAGAGAGAGAGAGAGAGAGAATGTTTTTGTAGATTATTAGTCTGGCTGCAGAGCTAGATGTTGGGAGTCCCATTCCCCACTGTGCCTCCTTGACCGGGGCTGGACACGATGATCCATTGGGTCCCTTCCAGCTCTGCAGTTCTAAAATGATAATTATCTAATGAACCTGTGTGTGTGTGTGTGTGTGTATGTGAGTATCAGAGAGAGAGAGAGAGAGAGAATGTTTTTCATACCACCTTTCTCTTTAAAAAGAACCCAGGGGAGCTTACATCAGTAAAGCTATTAAAAGCTGAAAGCAGTAAGGATACAAATATTTAAAAAAGAATCAAACAATAAATAGACACTGAAACAGTAAGCAAAATCATCACCAACACCACATTCAAAGCAACAAGGCACAACAATCCATTTAAGTAGCGACAGTCACTATGGGAAAGCCTGCCTTAAGAGAGAGGTCTTTGCCTGCTTCTAGAAGGGCAACACCTTGGCCTCCAGTGGGAGGGAGTTCCAGAGTCTGGGAGGAGTGGCAGAGAAAGCCCTCTCCCATGTCCCCATCAGGCACACTTGTGAGGATGGCAGGACAGAGAGAAAGGTCTCCCTTGATGATCTTAACACCTGGACAAGCTCATAAAGGGAGATATGGCCCTTGAGATAACTTGGCCCTAAGCAGTCTACATAGAGCAATACACACACACTCTCTCTCGCTCTCTCTCAGGTTTGATAGATAGATAGATAGATAGATAGATAGATAGATAGATAGATAGATAGATAGATAGATAGATAGATAGATAGATAGATAGATAGATAGATAGATAGATAGATAGATAGATAGATAGATAGATAGATAGATAGATAGATAGATAGATAGATAGATAGATAGATAGATAGATAGATAGATAGATAGATAGATAGATAGATAGATAGATAGATAGATAGATAGATAGATAGATAGATAGATAGATAGATAGATAGATAGAAAGACAGACAGACAGACAGACTGACTGACTGACTGAATGAATGAATGAATGAATTGGGGGGCAAAACTAAAATCTTGCTGGTCACAGAGAACAGGAAAAGATGGTCAGGAGGAGAAGGGGAAGATTTGTAGCAGCCTCTGACAATTTCATCACACTGGCATCAGCTCTGGATGAGATCCTGCAACCTTTAGCACCACCGTCTTGTTTTCTGTGGAATTCCTGAGTCACAAAACAAGACTGGAAAAAGCTGTGTGGTGGAGGGGAGGGGTACATGACACCTCCCAATGTCTCCAGCCAAGTGACCGTGCTGCCTGTGGATCATGGACACTGCTGTGTCAAACAGTAACTACAAACAACTGAACTGCTCTTTTTGAAACACTGTCAGATTGCTGGAGAGAGTAAGCAGTCAGTGTCAAAGAATGGCTGAGCTCACACTTCAGCTCAGAGTGAGCCTTGCAGTTCAGTTACCGAGCAAAATCGCTTGGACTTTTCCTCCTGCCTTTATTAATTAAATCCATCAGAAGGTTTGTGGGGAGAGGGAAACTCTAAGCAGTAGAAATGGGGGGGGGGAGGGCATATCTTTCCAATTGTTTCCTCCCAATTAGCTGCTGAATTTTGCATGCAACCCATTCTCTAATCATTTTTCTTTCTGTCTCTCCTACCGTATACCCTTTACCCCCTTTCCGTTGGCAAAGATTCCCTTGGAACTTAACAGCCAGCTCATCATTGAACCAAAGCAGCCGATCAAAGTGAAGTTCGTGCCCAGAAAGGCTGCTGGATCTGAGGAACAGAGAAATAGGAAACTGGAAAGAGCTTGATGCAACTGTCATCTTTCTGCCTCACATCCTATGGAATTAATAACTTGAGTGAGTCTTAGGACTGAAGACTACAAATGGGACACCGTGTTTACGAATGCTCCCCTTCACATCACTCAGGACTAGCACCTTGAAGCAGCAGAATTGAAAACAGGACGTTGTAGTTTTTAATCTCAAGAATGTCGCTGAAATCCTCATAATTATACATGTATAAATCTCTGCTGAGATAGAAACCTATTAAATTAAACAGTACTTACACAGGGAGAGAACTGTACTATGATTACTACCTTTATGCACATACAGTAACGGAAATGTAAAGATGAAGGAATAAAAGTTAGAATGAGTGTTTACATTTTAAATTAAACTTATTCCTACAAAGAGGACGTACTGTTTGATTTTTAATTCTGCTTTTTAATATTTTTTTTAAAAAAATTCTATTTAAAATACTTTCTATCCTGTCTTTCCCCAAAAAATGAAACCAAAGTGGTTTCCATAATTCAGAACACAATATTAAAAAGGTAAAAACAGCAAATGGTTCAAATCTGAAGAAGAAAGTAATAACATTATGTTCAAAATGTTAAGTCGAAGCGTTACTAAAAACAGATTTAGGGGCAGCAAAATATGAACCGTCCTGTTTATTGTCTCCTAGGTAGTCAGTCAATAAAGGAAAAGCCTTCCTAAAAGAAAAGTGTTGGCCAGATTGTGAAAAAGAAAGCAACGATGGTTAATGCCTGCATGTTTTGTTTCCGGATGGAGCTACGCTTTTCACAAAAGCAGGTGGCACTGGCATTTCGGGAATGGGTGCCTCAGACTGCAGATGGGGGATGCAGGAATGTAGGGTTCTCGTGGTCCTTCAGCTTTTTATGTTCTGGATGGGCCTTAGGGAATTGTAGATCAAAACACCTCCTGTCCCATTTGGGTCAATACTTTTTAAAGTCAAAAGCAATTAATTTAGAGCTCTCCATGCAGCAAACAGAGGTGAGAACTTTAAGCTCCATAACTTTATATCTGGAGGATACATCTGATAGATCCTCTTGTTCAGGCTAGTTCCTTCAGTTTTCATCCTGTCTGAGAAGCCTTCTACCACGCGATTCTGCTGAAAAGTAGTTGTAATTCTCAGAGAACCAGCTCGGCTCCCCTGTCGCCTCCAGCAGGAAAAGGACCCAAGGTGTGCCTTGCTTCCTCATTCGCTGGACTCACTTTTCCGGTCCTTGTTTTCTCTCTCTGGAGTTGCACACGGGTTCATAAAGACACGAAAGGAGCCATCGACTCGTAAGCGTTTCTGCTCTCTGGAGCAGGTCTCCTGGTTTTGAAAGTAGCTAAGGTGCGGCAAAAGGTTTCCTTCTGGACCTGCAAAGAGACACTGTAAACTGTGATTGTATTTTTAAACAAAGGGGGGGGGGAATTCAAGGATTACTGCTCTTAGACTGAGCAACTTAAATGAAATTGTTCATGAAAAGCAAATGGCTAATTCCAGTCCTCCAGGCTCTTCTATTTCCCAAGCTCTACCTCTTTCTTCTGCACTCTTTGCTCCCGCTTATTGTGGAACCAAAGTCAAATCTTGCTGGTCCCAGAAAGTAGGGAAAACATGATCAGGAGGAGGAGGAGGAGGCACAGATTGACAGAAGCCTCATTGACTCTTAAATGAAATGGATGAGATCCTGCAACCTTAAGCACCACCATCTTGCTTCTTTAGTACTCTTCAGGCTGGTCACAAAACAAGTTTGGAAAAGCTTTGTGGGAATGGAGCATTACATTCCCCCCCCCATGACCAAGCTGCCTGAGGATTGTGGGAGTCGTAGTACAGAACAGCAACTTTGAACAACTGAGAAATTGCTGGCATTAAGCAATTTGTCAGTTCTAAGTCTAATGTCCAAGTCATCACACCCTGCCTTGATGGTTGCTCTTAGCAAAAGATGTTAAAAGTGAGGTTGGGTTGATTCCAACTTACGGTGCATAGCTCAGTAGGTTGGAGTACCTGGTTGTGGAGCCAGGGGTCAGAAATTCAATTCCCCTTAGAGGAAAAGAGCCAGCCTGAGAGACCTTGCCATTCCTTCCTTCTGGGGGCACCTTGGGACTCTGCAGCTTGGTGGTTGGCTACACAGGGAGGGCTGGCCTTTATCACAGGCGACACAGATTTTCTATATAACTTATGGAAGAGTTACCATAAGTTGGAATTGCCTTGACAGCACACAACACACACAAGGGTGGGGATTTTAAGTTCTAATCATTGTTCCAGAATAGGTTTGAGTGGTTGACCCAAATGGATGGTGGGGCAACATAGAGGACCCACCAATGACATCAGATTGAGTTGGTTTGCCCTTCCTGCACATGGCGAGTTGGGAAGATGAACTCAGAAGACCTGCCTATCTGGGGGTGGGGAGAGAGTGCCTAGTGTTTATCCACAGACGCCTGGACTGGAGAGAGCAACAGAACCCTAGATCTATACATCTTCATGCCTTTCAGAGCTGGTCTCAGAAGCTGCATGGTTTTGCTCTCCTGGATTTGAACGTGGCCGTGGTGGTCCTCCTGCAGCAAGTCTCCTTCTGGACCTGCAAAAAGACTCCAGTAAACTGAGAAGGATTCTGTTTTTGTTTTATCCACATAGGTATATATATATATTGGACTGAACTCCTTACATGCAGTTGTTTACAAAAAGCCAGTGGCTAGTTCTGTAGACATCTCAATGTCCCAAACTCTTACTTCATCCTTCTGCATGATTTGTTTCTGGTCATTATGGAGCAAGAGTAAAACCCTGTTGGCCACAGAAAGCAGGAAAACATGTTCAAGGGGAGAAGGTGGGGATTCATAATAGTATAGGTTGTTAAGGAAGAACACGTAAACGTCTCTTTGTGACCTTAGGCTAGGATACAGGGGTAAAAAAAAAAAGGTTCAAATTTCTCTTTGCCATTAAACCCACTGAGTGACTTTGGGCCAGGCTCATGCTTTCAGCTAAACCTGTGTCCCAGGAGCATTGTAAGGATGTCAGCTATGTAGGTAGATTTGAGCTGGTTTGAAAAAAAGGTTGGATAGAAATGTAGGACACTAAGGACAACTAAACCATGAGAACGACAGGATTTTGATTCTCCTGTAATGCCTTATAAAAGAAGAGCCAGCATGTCTGGCTTTGGGCAAGCACCATGATTGCAGGGCACCTCCAGAAGAAGGAAATGCTCAACCATGGTGGAGTATTGAGTGGCTGAAATCCTGTTACTTAGTTAGTCACACTAGAGAACGGCTAAATGAATGAATGAAATCTATATGGGAGGTTTCAGCCTATTCCTAAATGCCCCTAACAAGGGTTACTACTATAGTTAGAATCAACTCAGTGGCATGCAATGATGATGCTGATATTGGTAGTGATGCAGATCATGTCCCTTACTAGGTTTCATGTGAATAATTTCTACATCTCCATGTCACCTACTTACGAGGATCGTAGTGAAGTTAAAGAGAATCTGTGAGACCCTGCTGTGAGCTCCTTCTTTGGAGAAAAGACGGGTAACAAACACAGTAAGATACAGAAACATGCTTGCTACAAATAAAGTTTGACTGGCACCAGAGGGGCTTAATGGATGAAACACAAAGAGTAACACAGCATTGCTGTAACTCTTGAGCAGGTTGAAAGAACTTTGTCTGTACAACCATATGTAAGCAGACTCACCAACATTCATTTCGAATGCTTCAATAAATCAGTGGGACTTACTCCTGAGTAAAGAAGAATTGATGTATTCTCGAAGGCTTTCACGGCCAGGATCTGATGGTTGTTGTGGTTTTTTTAGGCTCTTTGGCCATGTTCTGAAGGTTATTCTTCCTGACGTTTCGCCTGTCTCTGTGGCCGGCATCTTCAGAGGACAGCACTCTGTACTCTGGTGTAGTTTGCTTGGGAGTGGAATATTTATGGCTGTGAGATAGGCTTTTGTCCTTTTCAGGAGATGGGCGATTAGTGTGTCTTGTTGTGGGTGTATTGTTGTGATAAGTGGGAGAGATTATCTGTCACTGTGGTTGATGGTGCCTTTAGCAGGTCTTTTTTGTGAAATGATCCCTGGTCCTTGTGCCTGGGTAGAGTCTGTTGACCTTCTGCAGGCTGTATTTTCCAATGCTGGAAGCCAGGCCTTGTTCAGTTTCAGACTTTCCTCTTTTTTGTTGAAGTTCTGTTTATGTTTATGGATTTCAATGGCTTCCCTGTGCAGTCTAACATAATGATTGCTGGTGTTGTCCAGTATTTTGAGATAGAATTTCATGTCCAGCTTGTTTTAGGACATGTTCAAAGAAGAATTGAATTGAATGGTGTTCCTGAAAACAGGCATCCTAGCCAATGAGAGTTTCTGCCGTTTGGCCTAGATTGTAGAGCAATTAGAAAATAACCCAGACCTGTTTCCCAAGAGGTTTCAGTTACCAGTGGCCTGAAGGCTAGGATGCGTCAAGACGGAACATGCAAGGACCGGACACATAAAGCGGCCGGGCGAAGGGGGTGAGTCAGCCCACTCTTTCATACGACTTGTCCAGGAGGAGCTCCCGAATGAAAAGGGCAAGTGGCTGAAGTGAGCAGAAACGGTCCTCTGCTTATCACCCCAGAGAGGAACATAGGAACCAGCCAGCACAGGAGGAAAGGAAGACGTTTTTCATCGTCAGAATGGGTTTCTTTCCCTTCTTCTCCCTCGAAACTTGGGCACTCACAGTCATCCTCTCGGTCCTTCTTCTGCTGTGAGTGTGGGAAGGGACGGAGGGAGGCGGGAAGGGGCTGTGGGAAGGGAGCACCGGCCTCTTTGAGGAAAACTCTCAGGGGAAAGGAGAAGAAGATCTACCAGTGCCTTAAAAGCTCTAAACAGTGGCCGGACGGTTGGAACATGTGTCATTTTGTTGGGAGACCTTACAATGAAACAATCAAGCCTTTGAAACACAGAACAGGGCTTTCTTGAGCATCCTGAAACATGGACAGTTCAATGTGAAAAGTTGATGGCTTTGCCACCTCTGCTCAACAAAGCTTATTCAATGTAACCGAACTCTTCTCCTGTTGTTTGTAGGTCTTATTATTCTTATTAATTGCCCTGGCTGAGAATACGATGGGACTCAGGCTTTGTCTTTTCCCACTGGGAACTTTCAGTATCCCTCTTCCTTCATCACAGTTATCAGACACGATCAGGTCCGGAAACACCCTGGTCATTTCAAGGAAACCCTCCGCTCCCCATGTTTGCAGGAACAAACTAGCAAAGCAGAGACGTTTTGAAGGCTTACAGGCAGAAATTCGAGAGGTGTAGCTTCTTGCAGCAGGATATTTCTGTGTGGGAAAAATGACGCCAGCTCAGTTTCTGCTGGATTTTATAACCCACTGTGCCTTGTGTGATAAAAGCCAGGCTGTGTAGTCAACAGGGGAGTTACACCGTCCCTGAGGCACCCCAAGAAGAAGGGAACAAAATAGCAACTTTTTGAAGGCAGATATTCAACAGGTGCAGCATACTAGAACCAGAAATGACAATAGATTGTGTTCATTTCTTTGGGGCAACTTTCAGGTTGGGAAGATGAACTCAGAAGACATGCCCATCATGGGAAGTGTGGGGAAAGTGTCCGGCATTTATCCACAGAGGCCGGGACCAGCCTTGTCAGGAGAAGAGGCCGGCTGAATGATTTCTCTCCTTCTCTTTTCAGCTATGGAATCTGGCCCTACAATTTCTTTAAGAAGCTGGGGATCCCTGGGCCCAGGTCTCTGCCCTTTTTGGGGACTTTCCTTGAATACCGAAACGTAAGTATTTGGGGACGGGAAGACCCTGCGTCCCTCCGAGACGCTTTCGGTGTCCCCTCTGTGGTCAGTTCAAGGGCTGGCTTAGATCGTTTTCTCTTTTCTTCCTCCGTCCTTCTCTGACCTCTCTTTTTATCAACTCCGGCAGGGTGTGGTCCATTTTGACATGAAGTGTTATCAGAAGTATGGGAAGATCTGGGGGTGAGTCTTCTGTACAATGATACACCATCCAAAGAGATGGATTAGTTAAAATGTGGTTTTGGAGGTGTCTGAATATTGCCAAGATGTTAACCTCCCTGATTTCTGTCCAAAACAGATTGAGCTTGGAGACCCAGGCTCTCACGTTCCATTGTTACCTGGATGTAGTTTGTGGGTTAACTGGGCTTCCATTGTTACCTAGTTTGTGGGTTAACTGGGAATTGATTTCCTCCTAGAGGGTGAGGCTGAGTACAGCTCATCCAGGCCATGAATGGGAAGGAGGAATTTTAATTTTAAATTGCTTTTTATACATTCTTTTTAATGCTTGGTCCTTCTAAATGATTTGTGTCCTCTTTGAGTCCCACTATGGGGCCAAAGATGGCAGTAAAAGAAATGCAGTAAATGAATAAATAAAATTTCTTTTGCTTCTTTATTGGCGCTAGATTTTTTGATGGCCGACAGCCCGTGCTGGCTATACTGGAGCCTGCCATCTTCAAAACCATCTTTGTGAAGCAATTCTATACCCATTTCACAAACCGCCATGTAAGTACTCACTCTGATTTTTTTTCTTAGGTAAGATACACTTTAAAGCTTACATGTATGTGTGCACTTCTACAGTAATGGATTCTTAGTGTGGTGTAGTGGAGAGAGGAACAGGGTAGGACTCTGGAGCCCAAGGCTCAATTCCTGTTCAGAACTCACTAAAGGTGAGAAACTTGTAAAGCCATTCTTTAAATACCTAATTTAGCTTGACTATTGTCATCGTTCTTATGTGCTGTCTCCGATTCATGGTGCTGCTGTGAATGAGGATAGTCCAAAATGTCTTCTCCTCAACAGCCCTGCTTAGCTACTGCAGACTCAAACCTGTGGCTTCCTTGAGGGAGTTAGTCCATTTCATATTTGGTCTTCCTCTTTTCCTGTTGCCTTCCACCTTTCCTAGCATTATTGTATTTTTCTCGAGAATTCTTCCATCTCATGATGTGCCTCACGTTGGACAGCCTCAGTTTCAACATTTGTGCTCTTCCATCTCATGATGTGCCTGATGTTGGACAGCCTCAGTTTCAACATTTGTGCCTCCGGAGAGAGTTCAGGCTTGATTTGATCTAGGACTCACTTGTTCGTCTTTCTAGCAATCCAGGGTATCTTCAAATCTCTCCTCCAGGACCACATTTCAAACGAATCAATGTTTTTCTTAACTACTTTCTTAACTGTCCAGCTTTCACACCCATACAAGAGTGACCAGCGATACAAGAGTGTGGATGATCTTGGTCTTGGTCTCTCCAGTGACACATCCTTGCATTTCATGATCTGTTCTACTTCTTTCATTGCTGCTCTTCCTAGTCCATGTCTTCTTCTGATTTATTGGCTGCACTCTCCATTTGTATTGATGATTGAACCAAGGTATGCAAAATCTCTAACTGCTGTTTTCTATCAGTAAAAGCATGTCATCTGCATATCTTAAATTACTGATATTTCTTCTACTAATTTCCACTTCCCCTTTATCTGAATCCAGTCCATACCTTCTGCATACAGATGGAACAGATAATGTGGTAAATGCATCCTTGTCTGACAACTTTGCCTATTGGAAACCATTCAGTTACTCCAGATTCTTTCTAACAGTGTATTAGGATTGTTATAAGTTGCTTCTGACTTGATGGCACAATCTCTCTCTCTCTCTCTCTCTCTCTCTCAAGGTTCATTTAGATAATTATCCTCCTTTTAGGTCTGTAGAACTGGAAGGGTTCCTATGTATCCTTGAGTCCAGGAGAATGTAAAAGAGATGATACAAATTACAGGCACGACTTAACATTGCTGTCTTCTTTTATGTCCTGCATTACTAAGGACAGAGGTTTCAGCGGGGACTTAGAAGCATCTGTGTTTGTGGCCCCAGATGAGGAGTGGAAGAGGATTCGCACCATCCTCTCTCCCACCTTCACCAGTGGGAGATTAAAGGAAGTAAGTTGTGAAAGCCATCCCTCTTGGATAACATGCTGCCCAAGGAGTATTTTGGTCGGTGTGTTTGATCTCTTTTCTCCAATGCTAAAGCAGCTGAACTCCTAACAAAGCAAAATCCATCTTGAGTTTAGCATTACTGTCATACAAATAGTTTGGGATTGTCATCCTAGAAGGAAGGACTCAGTTTCCTTTAATTCCTGTGTGAAGGGATGATACAGTATTAACCGTATCTGACTTTTGGCTCAAGCCGTATCACACGAAATGCACCAGATCCTTGGGGGAGGCCCTTCTCTCGGCCCTGCTGTGTTTCTAAAAGCTGGACCACCTGAATGATGTGAGGCTGGTTGCAAAGCCACTGCAAACGTTTTGTTGATGGCAACCCCATTTAATGGATGGCAACTCAGGCTTTGATCTGTGTTCCAGATGATGCCTATAATCAACCATTACGGGGAAGTGCTGGTGGAGACCGTCCAGAAGAGAATGAAGAACAATGAATCCATGGACATGAAAGCGTGAGTGGTCTTATACGTCTACATTAGCCTAGTGTGACTGGATAAGTCCACGAAGAATCTCAGAGGAATCGCTGCCATTCTGTATCCCTCTGTTTGATTTCTGGTTTGAGCTACGCTTTTCACGAAACCATCTAGCATGGGCATTTCTGGAGGGCAGACTGCAGGACTGTAGAATTCACATAGTCCTTCAGCTTTGTGCATTCTGGATGTGGCTGATGGGAGATTAAAACATCCCATGCCCCATTTTGGATTATGGCCATTAATTAATTAATTAATTAAGTGCTCACTATGCAGAAGCTAGATGAATAGGGAACTGAGAACCCAAGCAGACCCCAAATAAATGTGGAGGATTCATGTGATCAGTCTTCATACTACCAAGATGAAGACTTCCACAGCAGGATTCTGCTGAACTTGTAGTTTGAGTAAATGTCTCTTTTAAAAAAATCAAGGTGTGCTTGTTACTATGGAAGGCTGTTCCTTGAAATAATGCCATGGGGGCATAGGGTGTCATTGCATGGATTGTATTTGTGTTTTCTTCCTTTCTTTTCTCCAGCATTTTTGGGACCTACAGTTTGGATGTGGTGGCCAGCACTTCCTTCAGCATCGACATAGACTCCATAAATAACCCCTGCGATCCTTTTGTCATCAATCTCAAGAATCTGGCCACATTCGACTTTGTAAATCCACTGCTGGTCGTGGCTGGTATGAGGTCCCCATCTACTAAAGGCCTTTTGACCCTTTTCTCTGCTGGAACATAAAATGCAGTGGGTTGGAAGGTGGCAAGCTTTCCTTTATGCGTCTCCATCTGTTCATCCGTTCATAGCTTCACAAACCTTCAAGGTTGAACACCAGGGTCCCTCCTTGCTTCCCCCTCCCCCCCTTTTTACCCAGGAGAGAGGGGAAACCCCTGGGAGTGAAAGATCTCCCCAAGTCCCATGTTGCACCTTCTCCTGCCAAGAATGGGATGCAATGTGACCGGTTTCTTACAATTTCCCTTTGAAAGAGCTGAGTGGGACTTCGTCATGGACTGTTCTTCCTCAAACACCATGTTGTTTTTCTCCTCAGTCGTCTTTCCGTTCCTCCAACCGTTGCTGGAGAAGCTAAATTTCACCTTGATACCTTGTTCTGTGTTGGATTTCTTCACGGCCGTGGTGAAAAAAATCAAGAAGGATCGGCAACAGAACCAGTGTACGGTCAGTTCAACCCGTTGTCTGGTCTCCTACAGATTCATAGTCAAGATAATGTGCGACTACTTCTTTCTTTAAAAGAAAAACATTATTCTGCATCAAGATGAACTGCTGTAAACCACGCTGAGCAGTTTCTTGATTCATAAATTGGTCTGTTTGCACTTTCTACTAACGATGAACCATTTCCATACCCCTGCAGGAGCGCGTTGACTTTCTACACCTAATGTTGGAGGCCCAAAATTCAGGAGACGTCTCTGATGGCACAAATTCATATAAAGGTAAATAGATAAAGCCACAATGGTAGAGCTCTGTATCAGATGGTAGTGGAATAGGAATTCCACCTCCTCCTTGTTTCACCACAACCCTGGCTTTCCAAGGGTTTCTTAAACTTCTATAGCAAGCCTTTCAGTTTCCTATGGAGCTGTAGAAGAAGGGTAGACCACTGGTTTTGGAGGAAGCAGTGGGGGTTCCAGCAGAATTAGATCATGGATTTCCATTTGAACAGGGGCTCCTTGGGGATATTGCTAAGACAGGCAGGTTTAAGGTGAAAATCAGTGAAGGCTATAGAATTAATGGACCTTCCACTTCTATGGCACGTGGGCTGCCCACAGGCATCACTCAGAGCCTGTCCCCCTCAAATGTGTGGTTCAGAGTGATGTGAATTGGAACTGTGATTCTTTCCTCCATTATATCTGGAACGATGAGATCGGCTCCAACTCTTTTCAGTCTTACGTTTTCTGCAATACACTGGGATGCCTACAAGGAAGAAAACACTGGAGTTGACCTACTATGATGCACCAAAGGGAAGCATTTCAATTTCAGGTCATATAATTAAAATCTCATTTTGCACTCTGTGTGAGCTTTCATCTGCTGAGGACTGAGCTCTTAATGCAACTACACTTCTGGGTTCACATTGATCTGTTGTTCCTTTCCACCTGCAACTATGTTGGTTTGAAGATCAATGCTAAGGAGACCGTCCGAAGGTATACCAACAACCCCTTACTACAAAGTTGGCATCTCTTGGAAGCACCGTCTTCTGCTGTGTTCTCAGCAACAGGAAGCCCACACTGTCTTTGGAAGACTGCACTCCTCTGGGTGGATTTGATGAAGAATCCATCTTTATGTTAATCTGAGTATGTTTGAAACTGTAGTTCAAGCCTCTCTGCTTCATGGAGCTGAGATCTGGACTGTCTTTCCGCATCAAAGCTCTGTCACTTTCCTCTTTCCTCTTTTGCAAGACCTCTCAGCATGAAACGGCAGGATAAATATCCCTAATCCTGAAGTCTCTGGAGAAACAACAGATGAAAAATGGTTCTACTAAATTGTAATGACAAATACTTCAGTGGTCTGGCCATGTTGTCGGGATGTTGGACAAGTATCTTCATTTTCTATGGGGATCTTGTTCCAGGTGTTCAACGGCATCCTAAAAAAGAGAAGTGATTCAAGGATATACTGAAGACAACACTGAAAGGTTTTAATGTTGACCATTTCAATTGGGAAGCTCTCGTTCACGCTGGAATGCCTTGAGAACCTATATTAAGCAAAGGGCAAAAGAATCTGAAATAATAAAAAAATCAAGAAGGCACAGCACAATAGGAATAAGAGAAGTGAGAAAGTGAGGATGTAACTTCTCGATAGCTCAAGAATTCCAGGATCAGCTAATATGCTCTTCACCACTGTTTCTCTATTTTCTGGGCTCACATTGGGCTAGTTAATCATCTGAGGGTCCATCAACGTGCTACTTCTCAGCTACTTCTCCCCTTTTCCCTTCTAAATGATGAATTGCGAACCTGATCCTTCAGGGAGAGTGTTGCCCCGTCTAGTCCAAGTAGGCAGCCTAGCCTATGTGGGGGTCACACTCCCCCTGCAGGCCAAGTCAAAATCTTGGCAAAAGATGCAGGAAACAGAGAAAGGGAGCTCAGAGTTCTTAGCTTTTTTTCCCCATTCCAAGTATAGTAGTGTGTCATATTGATGCTGCCAGCATGAAGCAGACAGCAAGAGGCAGCCGTGCTGGGGAGAAAAATCCCCATTCCTCCATTGAGTCAGCTCTCTCCCTTGTTGATTAAGATTACTCTTGCAGATGAAATCACTGATGATGCCAGAAGTGTTCAAATTGTATATGACCGGGAGGAATTTGCCTTATTTGAGATAAGGGAAGAGACAAGGATAGGAGATATGGAAGGACATGATCTGCAAAAACAAAACAAAACATAACCCAGTTTTCCAGGGAGACAAAGTAATCCAAACGAAGAAAACAAGACGAAATGATTGATTCAAGTCTCAACTGTAGTCATGTACTGTAGATCTGTTAAACTAATTCAAATCAATGGGAAACTGAATGACCCATTCAGTTCTTCTTAAACAGGAACAAATGGGATGTGTGGATGGACTGTGAGTTCACCACACATGACTTGCAAATATTACCTTTTCAAGAATAATTCCTATTGTTGTTGTTGTTGTTATTGTTGTTGTTGTTATTGTTATTGGTATTGACTGATTTTTTGTAGTACTGATTTCCTTTCTGTGTTTCACTCCTCATTTATTTTCAGCTCTGACTGACAAGGAGATTTCGATGCAGGCTGTAACCTTTCTTTTCGGTAGTTTTGAGACCATCAGCAATCCCCTTAGCTATCTGTCTTACTCCTTGGCCACCCACCCGGATGTTCAGCAGAAGCTGCAGGAAGAAATTGACAAGATGCTTCCCAACCAGGTAGAGGACTCTATTATCATCATGGTGTCTTGTGTTACAGACAATAGGTTAAGTGATGTGGATTGTATGGAATGTTATTTGCAGGAGCATATAGAAAGCTAAGTGCCTAGTTCTTGGCTAATGAAATAATCTTGAAAGCATGATGTGACTGTACCTAGAAGACTTAAGTGTGAGAAAGTGGATGGAAGAAGAATTTGAGATAGAAGCCATTGGGGATCTCTGTTCGATGATTGTCCTAATTCCTATCCTCAAAATAAAGGTACGATATTGAACAGTTTAGTCATTCTTGATGGTGGAATTCTGCAAACTCTAGGCCAAAATATAAAATGTGGAGCTTGCTAGGTGTTGATATATGCTATATTTCCTCCCTTTGGTCATTCATTAACCATGTGACAACAGACATGTTTAAGAACATCCTCCTCATGTGAGATATCATGGGTAATTTTAAAAAAATTAACTGTCGCTGTTATGTTATATTATGTTTATGTTTGGTTGGTTTAGTTATAATTAGATATAATTTTTGGATCTGATGTTGGAGGTTCTCTATGTGCCTAATATTTCTAACCCACCTAAAGTAGTGGCTTGCCACTAGATGGACAGCATATAAATACAACAGAGAGGTAAAAAAAGGAGTAAATTAAACTTTTTCCAAGCTGTCTATCGCTGTTATGTTATATTATGTTTATGTTTGGTTGGTTTAGTTATAATTAGATATAATTTTTGGATCTGATGTTGGAGGTTCTCTATGTGCCTAATATTTCTAACCCACCTAAAGTAGTGGCTTGCCACTAGATGGACAGCATATAAATACAACAGAGAGGTAAAAAAAGGAGTAAATTAAACTTTTTCCAAGCTGTCTACCTTTGTTACATAAATACAACAGAGAAACAAAGAAAGAAGTAAATTAAACTTTTTCCAAGCTGTCTACCTTTGTTACTAGGCGACACAATAGGGACTAGTGTCTTGACCCCCTTGAATCTTCAGCATGGTCACCCTTTAGAGTAAAGGGGTACAAATTCAAGATGGTGGCTTCTGCTTCAAATGCTTTAGCCAGGAACATGTTTAGCCACATCTGTTTGTCAGGCAGAATTCTCCCAAAAGGAAGAATTTGGAATTTTGTAGTCAAAGAACTTCAAAGTTTCCATCTCTCTAAGCCAGAGCTTTGATTCCATTATTTTTGTCCTATTTCAAAGCAGCTATCAGACCTTTCTGTGCCAAGAGAACTCTGCATTTTCCACAAAGGGGGGGGGAATACTCTCCTTAATGGGTACCATTAAGATGATAAACTAGTGCTTTTAGGAATCTGAGAAAATTGATAGTGTTGAAGTTTTATTGACAACTTTCCATGGTGTCTCTAGTTCGAGTAACTGGAAAGCTGAGCTGGAATGATATTGATGCAACACCAACCATTTCTTCCTTCCAACTTTTGAAATTCAATATGTTCCTATTGATCTGTTCGGTTGGTTGCTAGTATGTGTGCAGTAATGAAATGAGTATACACAAGTCTGTAATTTAAGAAACTGTAAGCAAAGATGTGGTTTTTATTCTTTCTTCTACAAATGTCCCAAATTCTGTTATTGAGTGTTTAAGAGCCAGTTAATGAGAAAGGAGTGGACTGTTGAGAACTTGTAGGTATTCTATTTTGTGGGTCTCTGTTTCTGTGTAGCAAAAAGAGAATTTAGCAGAAATTCAAAACTGTGCAATGGATAAATGCCCAATGCACCACGATCCTGGTCCAATAAGTACTTCTTGAATGCCTCCCACATGGTGTACTTTCTATCCTTCACAGGCTCCTCCCACCTATGATGTGATCTTTCAGATGGAGTATCTTGACATGGTGGTCAATGAAAACCTCAGGATATATCCCCCAGCAGGACGGATTGACAGGGTTTGCAAAAACACCGTGGAGATCCATGGGGTGACCATCCCCAAAGGAACGGTAGTCCTGCTCCCGGCTTTTGTCCTGCACCGTATCCCAGAATACTGGCCAGAGCCAGAAGAATTCAGACCCGAGAGGTAGGTTGCAAGAAATCCGGCATAGATACCTCCTCTAAAATTGGAAATTTGCACTGCCAGAAGCTAACTAGAGTAGACCCACTCAATCAATGGGATCTATAGAACTGTTAATGTACCATTCTGGAATTCAGTCAATGTCTCTACTCTCTATTTAGAACTACTAGCTGGATTTAGGCCATCATATCAAGCACAAGAGACATTGATCAGGCGGGAGAATTCCACCATGTCCTTCATCAACACTGAGGAAGCAGTGATGGGCAATGTAGGAGGGTATCAAGCACAAGAGACATTGAGGAAGCAGTGATGGGCAATGTAGGAGGGAGACTGCTGACTACTTCAGCCTTTCATGAGGTCCATTGAGCCACTTCCCCTCTTTGTTTGTTTGTTTGTTCCTGCCCATCCCATGCAACTTTGCAAGTGACCAGCCATAGATGTTCTCAAAGGGCCACTTGTCATGGTGGTTAATAGCAGGTGTATGCAGCTTATCCTTGTAGAAAGGAGTATGTTTCTTAATCACATAGTTGTTGTTTCCCACAACCAGAATCACAGTTTGATTTATAGAAAGGAGAAGTACGTTTCTTAATCACATAGTTGTCATTTCCCACAACCAGAATCACAGTTTGATTTCTTACTCTGAAGTAGATGTTCTTTGGATCTGCCCTTTGATCAGTTATTATCTGACCAAAATGAGTTCCTTCAGCACACAAGAATTCTCAAATAACCAGCTTGACTCAGCTGTCCCTCCTAGTAGTGGAAGATCCAAGGTGTATGTTGCTTCCTATTTCCAAGAATTGCTTTTCCTCTCCTAGTTCCTTCTCTCTCTCTCTCTCTCTCTCTCTCTCTCTCTCTCTCTCTCTCTGGCTTTGCACACAGGTTCAGTAAAGAGAACAAGGAAAACATAGACCCGTACACTTTCCTGCCCTTCGGAGTGGGTCCTAGGAACTGCATTGGAATGCGCTTTGCTCTCCTGGTTTTGAAATTGACCATGGTGATCCTCCTGCAGAAATTCTCCTTCCGGACCTGCAAAGAGACGCCGGTAAACCGAGAAGAGTTTTATTGCTGTTGTTTTTAATCTATATACTGTATATAAAGGGCAAAGGCTGTTGAAGTGAACTGCTGGCACGTAACTGTTCACCAAAACCCAATCCTCTATGCACACTGCTCTCCCCAAATCATACTTAATTCTTCTGCCTCGTTTGCTTCCAATCATTGTGGAGCAAAAGTTAACTCTTCTGAGCCACAGAAAGCAGGAAAACATGGTAAAGAGGAAAAAAGCGAAGATTTATAGTAGGCTTTATTGCTCCTGGCTATTTAATTATATGGGCCTCACCTCTGGATTGAGGTCCTGCAACCTTTAGCACCACCCTCTTGCTTTCTGGTGGCAAAAGACATGTGTAAAAGCTTTGTGGGAATTTTGTATTATGTCTCAGAGGGTGTCTAGCCAGTGACCAAACTGTCTGTGGATCGTGGGAGTTTTAGTACCAAACAGTGACCACAAACAACTGAATTGCTGATTTTGAAAAAACCCTCAAATGCCTGAAGTTTAAGCAGCACTCAAGAATGGCTGAGCTCACACTTCAGCAATTGAGTTACCAAGGAAAAAGCGCTTTGATTTTTTCCTTTAGTAAATCCATCAGAAGATGTGTGGGGAAAATAAAACAATAAAAATGAGAGAAGCATATATCTCTGATTTCCTGCCAATTAGCTGCCGAATCTCCCTTTTAACCCATTTTCTAATCATTTTTCATTTCTGTTTCTTCCTCCACACCATATACCTATACCTCTTGGTTTTGTCAAAGATCCCCTTGGAACTTAAGAGCCAACTCTTCATGCAGCCAAAGAAGCCGATCAAACTGAAGTTCGTTCCCCGAAAGGCTGCTGGATCGGAGGACTAGAGAAATAGGAAACGGCAAGGCGGCCGATGCCACAGCCCTCCTCCTGCCTCACATCCTTGGGTCGCCTGCATGAACAGAAGGACCAAAGTCTGCAAATGGGGCACCATGTTTTCCAACACTCCCCTCCACATCACTAAGGACTAGTAACTTGAAGCAGCAGAATTGAAAACAGGACATTGTGATTTTTGATCTCAAGAAAATCACTGAAATCTTATCCTCATAGATTAAATGCATAACTCTCTGCTGAGATGTAAACCTATTTAATTAGAAAAAAACACAGATCAACTGTATAAAATTGTAACCTTTATGAACTTAGTTTATATACATATGGTAAATGAAATATATAGGTGAAGGATTAAGACTTTGAATGAGTGGCTACATTTTAAATTAAACTTAATCCCACCAAGTTGACATAGTTTTTTTTTAATTCAGCTTATTTATTTATTTAT